ACCCTTAAACCAACCATCACAGTTATTAACGTCTACACCTTCCCCAACCCTTAACCCAACCATCACAGTTATTAACGTCTACACCTTCCCCAACCCTTAACCCAACCATCACAGTTATTAACGTCTACACCTTCCCCAACCCTAAACTCAACCATCACAGTTATTATTGTCTACACCTTCCCTAACCTAAACTCAACCATCACGGTTATTAACGTCTATACATTTCCTAACCCTTAACCCAACCATCACCGTTATTAACATCTACACCTTCCCTAACTTAAACTCAACCATCACAGTTGTTAACGTCTATACCTTCCCCAACCCTTAACCCAATCTTCACCGTCATTAACATCCACACGTTCTACAACCCTTAACCCAACCACCACAGTTATTAGCATCTATTCCTTCCCAAACCCTTAACCCAACCATAACAGTTATTAACATCCACACATTCCACAACTCTAAACTCAACCATCACAGTTATTAACGTCTACACCTTCCCCAACTCTAAACCCAACCATCACAGTTATTAACGTCTACACCTTCCCCAACTCTAAACCCAACCATCACAGTTATTAACGTCTACACCAGGGGTGGGCAATCTCGGTCCTGGTGGGCCGGTGTCCAGCACAGTTTAGCTCCAACCCTATTCAAACAGATCTCCCTATAGAGTTCAAGTGATCTTGAAGACACTGATTAGTTTGTTCAGGTGTGTTTGACTAGTGTTGGAACAAAACTCAAAAAGGATCAAGTTTGCCCATCCCTGGTCTACACCATTCCTAAACCCGACCATCGAGTTGCAGAGGCTTTCATACTTGATGTGCTTTCAATTGTTGTGTTATTTGCAAGGGTGCAAATAACAGGGTGACGTAGGATATGCCAACTGTCACTAAAAAAAAGAAGTCAGCAAGTGGAGTTGCATGGTGGATATGCTAAATGAATGATAATATTGATAATATATGAAATTAATTGGTTGTGGATAAATTTGGAGAAAACATCAAATTCATGAAGACACTCCTAAAAACATTTGCTGAAAATGTTTTCTTTTCCGCCATCTTGCCAATAACAATGGGATTCAATGGGATCTCAGTAACTTCAAGTTTTGCCTCTTCAACATACTGCATGTTATGCCCCTTTATGTTACGCCCCCATGTTGCACTCCGCAGACAGATACACTTGGAAGAATTAGTAAATGATGACAGAATTATGTTTAGAAATAGACACGCTTTTACTTGGTATTTTGTAATGTTTTCATATTTTCTGGATCATTGTTTTTATTGCTTGTTTAGCAGTTTAAAGTAATGTAGTGGGTAACAGAAGTGCTGTTTATTATATGCATGTCTGAGAGTGCTGATAGGGATAATCGGATCTAGTACACAGTAGATTATTATCAATCAGGGCCTTTGAAATGAATAAAGCATTATATGCTTCTATAAGGCTATGCTCTCATGGGTCCATTATGAAGGTCTTGTTAGCATTACTTTCTTGGCCGGGAGCCACACTGCGGTCGAAAAGGGAGAATGTGGAATGCAGGGGTTGTGGTGTCATGTTATATCTTGTGATTATATTTGCCTTTAGGTTGGTGAATCCAATATCCAGCTTGTACATTGGTGGTATTTTATTAAATGCATTTATGTATAATAAGCAAAACTTGTGAAGATAGGATTAATTTGCATTAAGCCATTTTGTTTCATGCATTGCTTTTGCTCAGGGTTTTCACGGGTCATGGAATTTTTGTAATAACATGGAAAATTTGTAATATCATGGAATATTAAAATGTATATTTCAGGTCAGGTAATGTACAAGTAATGGAATATCCGGGATTTTCAAGTAGGTATCACAGCAGCCCGGAGACCTCCATGTAGGCTGGGTAAACCCCCAAGTGGGAGGGAGTTAAGTCACAAGTGGACTGGGTTTAGGGTTGGTGTAGGTATAGATGTTAAAACACAACAGGCTACTGTGAGGTTGGATTTAGGGTTGCGGTAGGTGTAGATGTTTAAAACCAACCTCACAGTAGCCTGTTGTTTTTTGGGTAGGTATAGATGTTAAAACACAACAGGTTACTGTGAGGTTGGGTTTAGGGTTGGGGTTGGTGTAGATGTTAATAAAACACAACAGGCTACTATGAGGTTGGGTTTAGGGTTGGGGTAGGTGTAGATGTTTAAACCCAACCTCACAGTACCCTGTTGTGTTTTGGGTTGGTGTAGATGTTAAAACACAACAGGTTACTGTGAGGTTGGGTTTAGGGTTGGGATATGTGTCGATGTTAATAAAACACAACAGGTTACTGTGAGGTTGGATTTAGGGTTAGGGTAGGTGTAGACGTTAATAAAGCACAACAGGTTACTGTAAAGTTGGGTTTAGGGTCAGGGTGGGGTTGGACGTTAATAAAACAACAGGTTACTGTGAGGATGGGTTTGGGGTTCGGGTATGTGTAGATGTTAATAAAACACAAAAAGTTGTACTCTGTCATGTTAAAGACATTAATTAAACTCAAGGTTTGTACAGCCCACAGTTGTTGTGACTTGGAGCTCAAGTCCCACCAACTTGGAGCTGGCTCTGACCTCCGGGTTTAGACCCTTTTCTGGATTTTTGTTCCATTCATAAAAAAATCTATTTCTCTACTCTTATTTTTTTTATATCATGTTCTCTTATATCTATTTATAGTTTTATTTTCAGCTCAATTGTAAAACTCCTCAACTGGCAGTCACTTAAATCAAGTGCAGTCAATAGACTCAGGCTAGCATCCCAGGATGATATCAATTTTAAGAGCTTTGCCTTCAAATTACCATTTAAACTAAAAAAAGTACATGACAGAAAAGCTAAATGTAAAATTTAAAAAGGAGCTTTTACTAACAGTAAGTACCTCAGTTTTTTTTTTCAGGATCTGAGGTAAAGAATCCATTTTTTTTTCTTGTAGCAGTTATTGAAGTCATGCAAAATGATATTCAAGCTAAAACCATTTTAAAGCCTGTTTATACAATTAATTATAGGTAATGGAAAATCAGCGTTTTAGTCCGTGAAAGTTAGATATTGGTTTAGACTGAGATCCCTAATTCAAATGCTTTCTTTTCTCTTTGATTGTTTTGCTGTTTGGCTGTCTAGTCTGGTTCTTTGTTGGTTA